AGGGAGGAGAAAAAAAAGACTGCACCCCTCAAGGGCAGAGACCAAGCCCCACTGCTTCTCCCTATGTCCCACCTAATTCAGAGTCCGGTGCGTGGGTCCACTCCGAATATGGGAGAGTGATCGAATCTCTTTTTTCTGATGACTTGTAGGCAGATGTTCTACCTGGTCTGTACATACCTAAGAGAACGCTGCCACTGGTCAGTAATCTTCACAAGGAAACTCATGGTTGTGGCCTTAGCCTATTGTCTGTAAACTTTCTAATTCAAAGAATGTTGCATAATCCTTCATTAAAGGATTTGTTTTCTTGTCCTTTGTTTCCTCTTTATCATTGCCAATTGAGGTTTTGTTTTCATAGCATATGTCAATTTTCATTACATAACACTGTTTTATATTATTGTGTTTCCTTATAAACTAATTTCACATAATCTGCATTTTCAGCCTTCTTATAAATTATGTACAGGAAGTGCCATATGAAGGAAATGGAAGCAACCTTTAATAAGGGAAGAAAGGCCTGGTAATCTACTACTGAAAAGCATTGATTGAAAACCCTGCAGAGCAAGTTCTATCCTGATGCTCATGGCTTTACCAGGAGGCTTCTCCTTGGTTTACAATAGGGGAAAACCTGTGTCATTGATTACCAAAGCAGCCCCCGAAAAGCTCCACGAAACAGTTCTATCTCATCTCCTCGTTCCTAAAGACAAGGTTTCAGCAGTTGACAGGACCAAACCTGAAAGGGTGTTTGTTTTTTTTTCCTCCCCAATAACCCATTGAATTCCAAGAGAACCCAGAAGAAAATCTTCATGAGAGGCATTCGTGGAATAAAGTTATCCTATTATATTAAGAATAATCTAGTCCTAAATATTAATGAAAGCTCACATTCTTCCCCATGACTGTAGGACATTAGAAAGACCTGATTAGAACCTATAAGGAACAGCTTACCTAATTGTAGGGATATTAATATGTCAACTGCATATTCATGTATAGTGTGTGTTTATTTCGATGTGAATATAAAGTATGTTATTTGAAACCATGTGGTAAAAGTATTAGTAAAGTTTCACATTGTGTGCATACTTTGAGATAAAACTCAACAAAAAAGAAAACTCATTGCAATTGAGACCCTGAAAGATAAAGTAAGATTGCCTCTTGGGGTTTCCAGCACTGTAAACCATTATGAGAGCAAAAGCCTCATCTTTCTTCCCTGAGCAACTGATGGATTTGAACTGCTGATCTTGCAGAGGAATCTCATAATTTCACAGCCAGTAGGCTGAATAAATTATAAACTATGACAATCTTACTACCATTTTAGCTGAGAAACAGAAGTGCCTGTCTAATTTTATCATATCAAATGGACGAATATTGGTTTTATATTAAAATTTCTATGGTGATTTTAGATATTATTTTGTTTTTTAACATTCACCAGTTTCACTAAACTAAAAAAGAGGTTAAATAACAATAACATCCAGGATGTGTTAAGCTTTCTGTTTTTCTCTTATTTCATAAAATCTCTTATTTCATAAATAAGTAATAATTATATACAAAAATATATTTTTGTATTATCTATCATGTAAGTATATTTATGTAGAAGTATAATTAAATATACATGTTAAATGGTTAAGCATTTGACTACTAACTGAAAGGTTGGCAGTTCAAAGCCACCCAGAGGCAATTCAGGATAGAATCCAATATCAAACTGCCATGCAGTGGATTGTAACTCATAGCAACTACAGGGCTTCTGAGGTTGTAAATCTTTACAGGAGCAGATAGTCTTAATTTTCTCCCTCGAAGCGGTTGAGGGGCTTGAAATACAAACCTCTGGATTAGTAATTGATGCTTGCTTACCCAGCAGTGGCCCCAGGACTCCTTAATAAAGGCCTATCTAATTATTCAAGGTAACAGTCTTCAAAACTCTGCAAGGCACGGGGCCCCTCAGGCTTGCCATGAGTGTATATCGGCTCAGAAGCAACTGGTTTGGTTCGTGATCCGGTTTGTCCGTCTCGTACTTGCTATTCTTTTCTACATCCAAGTTTCATAGGGTGAATTTCTTTTTCCATTCCATTACTACTGGCCTAGACTTATCAGCAAAGATTTCTCTGTTTATTTATTTGAAAATATCTTGGAACTTTTCTATTTGAAGAACAATGTTATTGCCTCTTGGAGGACCTATTTTCCTTTCTCCTCTTCTTGTTCAACTCTAAGTACCATTGTACATAACTAAAGATATTTTTGGCACATTTTTTAATTAAATAATTATTTTATTAGGGGCTCATACAACTCATCACAATCCGTACATGCATCATTTGTGTTCAGCACATTAGTACATATGTTGACTTCATCATTCTCACAACACCCACTTTCCACTTGAGCCCTTGGTCCCCCTCCCTCCCCGGTCTCCCCTCCCCCATGAACCCTTGATAATTTATAAATTATTATTATTTTATCATATCTTACCCCATCCAACGTCTCCCTCACCCACTTCTCTGCTGTTTGTCCCCCAGGGAGGAGGCCATATGTAGACCTGTTATCTGTTCCCCCTTTCTCCCTTACCTTCCTGCCACCCTCCCGCTATCGCCACTCTCTCCACTGGTCCTGGGGGATTCATCTGTCCTGGGTTCACTGTATTTCCAGGTCCTGTCTGTGCCAGTGTACATACTCCAGTCCAGCTGGATATGTAAGGTAGAATTGGGATCATGATAGTGGGGAGGAGGAAGCATTTAAGAACTGGAGGAAAATTGCATGTTTCATCGTTACTACGCTGCACTCTGATTTGCTCCTCTCCTCCCGACAGCCCTTCTGCAAGGGGATGTCCAATTTCCTCCGGATTGGCCCAGGGTCCCCACTCTGCACTCCCCCTCATTCACAATGTTATGTTTTTGGGGTTTTTTTTTTGGTCTTTGATGCCCGATACCCGACCCCTTCACTGCCTTGTCATCTTACAGGCTGGTGTGCTTCTTCCATGTGGGCTTTGTTATTTCTCAGTTAGATGTCCCCTTGTTTATCTTCCAGCATGTGGGAGCCCAGATTGTGTGTAATTTGACAGCTTGGCACCATCAGCTTTCTTCACCGCATTTGGTTATGTACCCGCTTTGTCTTCAGCATTCGTGTCGGGGTAGGCTGGTGTGCTTCTTTTGTTTGCTTTGTTGTTTCTTAGCGAGATGGCCACCTTTTTGTCTTCAAGCCTTTAAGACCTCAGATGCTGTATCATTTGATAGCCGAGCACCATCTGCTTTCTTCACCACTTTTGCTAATGCACCCACTTTGTCCTCAGTGATCGAGTAGGGGCAGGCTGGTGTGCTTCTTCCGTGTGGGTTTTGTTTTCTCTCAGCTAGATGGCTGCTTGTTTATATTCAGGTCTTTAAGGCTTCAGGTGCTATATCTTTTGGTAGCTGGGCGCCATCAGCTTTCTTCACCACACTTGCTTGTGCACCCATTGTCTTCAGTAACTTCAGGTGTTATATCTTTTGATAGCCAAGCATCATCTGCTTTCTTCACCACATTTTCTTGTGCACCCATTGTCTTCAGCGATCATGCCAGGCAGGTGAGCATCTCAGACTGCCGAATTGTTAGAACAAAGTGTTCTTGTGTTGGGGGAGTACTTGTGCAAGGAACCACTGTCCATCTGTTTTCTTAACACTCGACCTATAAATATATGTACATAGATCTATTTCCCCCTCATCATATATAAATATATTTACATCTTTATATGCCTGTATTTACCTCTCTATGACTACCCTTTGCCTCCTAGTTCTTTCCTCTATTTCTTTGTACTTTCCTCTTGTCCCACTATCATGTTCTGCCTTCATTTGGGTTTTAGGCATTCCTCTTGGTTACATTGCCCTTGATCCAGCCCTGTAAGGCCTCCTGCACCCTCCTTGACATTGATTTTGGATCACTTGTTGTTCCCTTGTCCCTGTGCTTGTTAACACCCTCTTCCATCCCCCCACCCCCCGACACATATTGTTAAAGCCTCGTAAAGAGTTTTGAAAAAGGAGTGGTAAATATGGATGAAAGGCCACACTTTACCAAAAATTTTTTTTTGTTGTTTTTTTTTAATGCACAGATAACATAAATTAGTAGGCTTCAAATGGAAAATACTGTTTAAACCGTTTTGTTTTGTTTTTTTATTGCACAGACAACATAAATCAGTAGGCTTCAAATGGAAAATGCTGTTAGCGTCTTCTTCTTATGAATGTATTTTCTTTTTCAAATCTCTTCCTAGGTGCATTTCCTACCTCTGCTACTTATGCACGGAGAGACTTGCTCCAGCGGTCTACACATATTGCTACCAAGACTTTCCAAGCTTTGCGCATATTTGTGAACAATGAGCTCAATGAACTCTACACAGGACTCAAGACAGCTCAAAAATGTTTGAGGCCTGGTGGTCGCCTGGTTGCTCTCTCCTTCCATTCCCTGGAGGATCGAATTGTCAAACGATTCTTGCTTGGGATCAACATGACAGAAAGGTTTAACCTGAGTGTTAGGCAGAAAGTGTCACGAATATCAAGACTGGATTCAGCTCAGAAAAGTGAGGAACGTGTCTCTACGAGGGATCCTTTGATGTGGGAGTTGATACACAAGAAGGTGCTCATTCCCGAAGATAAGGACGTACAGGACAACCCCAGAGGGCGCTCGGCCAAACTCAGAGCTGCTATTAAATTATGCAAATTATAATTTGATTACAAAAGATTTTCCTAACAATTTTTTAAAATCTTTTTATGTGATGTTACTGAAAAGCTTACTATACAAGATATGGGAATGACTTGACATTGCAATATTTGGTTTGTTCTTCAAAAGAGGAGCGAGGAAATAGTAACATGACCAGGTAAATAAAACGAACCATCATTGAAGAACTGCCACATTGCCTTTATAATAGTATTACATTTTACTATTGAAATGCTGCCCTTTCTCTGAACAAGGAATTTTGAAAGAAACAAAACAGAACTATGTTGTATTTTAGATATCTAAACATGCAAAAGCAAACTGTCAAAGAGAGTGATAGTATAATTCTATCGGCATGCCCTACATTCTTTATTTAGATATTCAAATTTCAACAGACTTTTTATGCTTCAAATAATCATCATTATGGGTTGGAATTTAAATCAATTAAGAATAATTATAATTAGTTTTTGAAAAAGTGGACTATAAAACTTAAAATTTCTCAAATATTCTTAAAATGCATTCTAGAGATAAAGTTCATGGTTCAGATTGTTATGTCAAATAAAATTTTCAGTACAATGTATATAGTGTTTTTTAATCTATTACAAAGGAAATAGTACAGCCTTCACAGATAATTGTCTCAGAAAACTTAGGAAGGAGAGGTAATAACGTGCAGATTTTAAAAATAACCACTTTAATTTCATTTGAAATCTCTGATCCAAAAAAGAATAAGACAGTTCATAAAGGAACATTGAATGCATGAACTAACAGAAAATGTGTATCATCCCTTTCACTTGGTAAAATTATATGTGTATATTCATTCAACAACGTACAGTAGAGGTTTACCATTTGGAAATAGGAAGGCACTCTTCTTTTTTTAATTATTAATCATTTTATTGGGGGGGCTCTTTCAAATGTGTAACAATCCATCATTCAGTTGTACTAAGCACACTTGTACATATGTTGCCCTCAACATTTCCAAAACATTTTCTTTCTACTGGAGTCTACTTTGTTTATAATCTTGCCCCTTCCCTTTCTCTGTTCATATTGGTATGTGAATTTCTTAAGCCAATGAAGTGACATTGTTTCCTGTTGGAAAAAGAAATATTCTCCCATGTACTATCACAAACTAAGCCTTACCTGGTTGTAATTAATTAAAATTAGCAAAAAATGTGCTTCTAGTTGAAAAATTGGCAATATTTATTTTGATGCTACTGTTTTCTAATAAAGTTTAATAGGTGTTATTTGTGTGCAAACAGAACTATAATGAAAAGGAATAAGCATTAATATATAAAAGGAATTCTATGAAATAGTAAGTATAAATTTAGTGAGTGAAACCCTGATCAGAGAGATATTTTTCTGAGAACCATAATACCATGTTTTATGTTGAATGAAGCATGAGTTGTAAAAATCTGCATCGTATTCTAAAGAAGCTGTTTTTTAATAAGTGAAGCTTCCTTTATATTTGTTTTCTCAAATGTCATCTCTTTATATCTAATATTTCCAGCTAATATTTGGTAGCATGGATGGTGACCTGCAGGATGCTAAGAAGAAAGTTTAAATGTACATTATTTTTAAAAGTCTATTTACAAAAATTTTCAAAATCATTAAAAGATAATCCAATAGAACTGGCTATGTAAAATACAATGGTGAGCACTCTTTATTGACTGTCAATTACATGTAACTTAAAATTCCTCACCGATATTCTTGGCCATCTCTCTTACTCCCCTCTCACATAATTTACATAAATTACTGTATAATTAAAAAGGAATGAAATTTAGTGCTCTGATGGACAAAATAAGAGGTTGTCTCTTTGTTAATGTTACATCTCCTTAGGTAGTCCTTTACTTTAAATCAAAATTCCCTAACTTATTGGACCTATGATCTCCTTTTCAGAAGAAAAAATAAATAAATTACTCAGTGCCCCCTGGCAATTAACTTTGTACCATAGCCCATAATCCAGGATAAAGTGTAGGTATCTGCTTTTGCAGCCCCTCGGGATTGTTCCAGTGCCCTGGAGGGGTCAGTATCACCCACTATACAATCAGCAAGACAAAACATTGCCTGGGACCGCATCATCTTCACAATCATTGATATGTTCAAGTCTACAGTGACCTGTGTGTATTTTGTGTGCTTTCTAACCTAAGAGAGGCATCCCCCAGCACTATGTCAGACAATATTTTCCTGTGATCCCTAAGGTGTTAATTGGTTAATTTTCAGCAGTAGTTAATTAGGCTTCCTAGTTTTAGTGTGGAAGCTCTGCTGTAACCACTCTACCATAGTTGACTTGCTCCTATTTGAAACACCATTGGTGTAGTGTCTAGCATGATAACTCACAAGTCACCACAGTAGAGTGTAGCTGATAGATAAGTGGTAGTTACGCAAATACTGAACAGATTTTCTAGAATCAGTGGTTGCTTTATTAATTCTCTGACTGCCTAGACACTAGAATACAGAGCTGAGATTGAATGAAAGGACACGGTTCATTTTTTATTCTGTCTGTTAAAACCCATCTTTATGCTCAGGCCTGTAATACTTGACTGGTTTCTCAAAGGTGATGATTTACATTGGCAAGCAATCCAATAGTATGAATGATATGGTTCCTTTTACTTCCACAAGGAAAAGTATTGCCATCCAATTTGTACAGAGTCTAAAATGAAAAGGATGCTGTATAACATTGCAAATAACACCTCTGGCTTTGGCATTAGAAAAAAAACCATGAGTTTGAATCCCAGCTCTGCATATAGGAAATGAATATATGGACGAAGAAAGATTGCCTAATCTCTTGAATCCTCATTTACTTCACTTTAAAATGGGGATGGCATCACTACCTATATGATCAGGTTTCTGTAAATCAAATAGGATATACCCAATAAATATATCTCAATTAAATGAAACTTGTATGGATGAAATAAGATTTGCATGTAAAATATTTAGCACAATTCTGGGAACACAGTAAATATAAAAGAAAAAAGAGCATAGAGCTATTATTTTGCTAGAAGGAATTTGCCAAAATACAACTTGCACTTCTCAACACTGTGATTAAAGATGTATATTCCTTGGGAGATGGATTGGGTTTTAGTTGGTTATATTATTTGGGGATTTCACTCCTATTTAGTATTTATTTAACACCTCCTATATTTGCTGTACCTTGACAGGGCATATAAAACACGATAATTGCTCTTGTGAAGTTTCTATTTGTAAGAAACAAGATTGGGGAAAAGGAACCAGTTGCTGAGGTTATATGACACTCATGTAGGCTGGATAGAGTATTCGTCCTCCTACACTTCTATATTAGTAAGTAGCCATGTAAGTAGTCCTTATAGGAAGATTCTCTACCACACATTTTGAAGGAACAAGTAATCTGTGCGTTATTAGGTGGGTGATTGCTAGAGGATTGCAGAAAAGTTCCCCACTTCAGCACTCCCTTGAGAAGCCAAGGATCAATAAAATGTGTATGAAACAGGTATTAAAGCAAAATCACTTGTGAAGGATAGGTAGAGTTCACGCTTAGAATGAACAGGTGATTTTCCCTTTTACAGCAGCACAAAAATAGGGATTATTGGACCTAGATGCCTCCAGTTTTCACGCCCTCACTGTATCTCTGCATTTGTAAGTCTCTTTTGCTTCCTCTATTTTGCTCTCCTGCGTGCCTCCGTGTGGGATCATGGAGGTGTTTTGGTTACGTGTTCGGAAGCCCATCTGCCGCTCTGGGAGAGAGGTGAGTGTGCCTGCTCTCATAAAGATGTACAGCTTCAGGAAGCCAAAGGGGCAGTTCCACTCTGTCCTGTAGGGTCGCTCTGAATTGGAATCAACTTGATGGTAGTAGGTTTGCTTTTGGTTTGGGGTGTGACCGTGGAAAGCTTAACCTTGTTTCTTTTCTTCTTAAAATTTCCAGACTTTAGTTTCAGCAATTTTACGAAAGCCTCTTGTTTTTAACCTCTTACCTTCTAGTATCTTATCTTTTGTGTACATACACACTAAAATGTGTCCATGCTAAAATGGCACTCAATGACTAAATCTTTTCATGGTTTTTCCCAAAATACTATCCAACTTTCTATTTTCTTTCATATCCTGATTTCTTGAAGTCTGTACTTGGCCACTACCTCACTCATCCAATTATACTATTATTTTGTAGAGTATTACTCTACAAAAAAAAATTTTTAAGAGCCCCTAGAGACCTCTTCAATGCCAGATTCAATAAGTTAATCTCCAGCTTGACTTACTTTCCCATTGCAGCATTTGGTAATGTTGGTGCACCCTTTCAAAAGGAAACCTGGTTGCTTAGTGGGTATGTGTTAGACTGCTAACCAAAAGGTCAGCAATTCAAAATCCCCAACCTCTTCTAGGGGAAAAGATGAGGTTTTCAACTCCCATATGGAGTTACCCACAGAGTATGTGTTGTCTTAGGATGTGCATTTAGTGAAGGCCATGCTGTGAACTCACTCCATATTATCCATGGAGTACATAAGATATGATAATGTTGCTAAGCTACAAAGAGTGGAAAAAATGCAGACCAGATATTTCCAGACTGGAAGTAAGCTCAAAAAGGACTTAACTGTGCCTGACCCAAGCCATGGTATTTTCCATCGCACGCTGTGCATGTGAAAGATGGACACTGAGTCAAGAAATCTGAAGAAGCGTTGATGCATCTGAATTGTGGTGCTGGAGGAGAATATTGGAAGTACCATGGACAGCCAACAGGACGAAGAAATCTGTCTTGGAGGAAGCATAAGCAGAGTGTCCCTTAAAGGGAAGGCTTGTGAGGCTTCATCTTGGGACATGTTATCAGGAGACGCGGGTCTCTGAAGAAGGACATCCCACTAGGTTAAGGAGAGGGGCAATGACAAAGAGGAAGGCCCTCGAGGAGAGAGGCATTGACACGGTGGCTGCGACAATGGGCTGAAGCAAAGGCACAATGGTGGGGCTGGCACAGGACCAGGCAGTCTTTCCTTCTGTTGTTCATAAGGGTTGCTGTGAGTCGGAACGGACTCGATGGCACCTTAAAACAACAAGTGAAAATAATATTGCTCTAAGGATTCTAGTTTATACATTCCCGGGTTTATTCCAAACCAACCGTGCTGAGATGTGCTTGCGTGATCGGGGAGTGTTTGCAGACAAGTTCTCTCAAGAATACATTTGTCTTAATCTTGCTAGCTTCATACACACACACACACACACACACACGCATGCACAGTCTCAATCAAAATAGTGCTTTCTGTTGGGATTTTCTAGACCTGTGAAGCTCAGGGCGGAGAAGTTAGCTCAGAGAGTTAAGGTGTTTAATTCTGGCGATTCAAATGAGAAACCTTGATAAATATTCTTCAAGTGCACAAAACATCCAGGGAGATAATTAGGAAGAAATTTTAAAGAAAATTGTAAGGCAAAATCAGCAAACTTGCACTCAGAAATTTTTCTCCAGCTTGACACTGCACCTGTTCATTCTGTGCGGGTAGCCAGGAATGTTGTATGAGAATTATGTTGGGAAACTACCCTATCCACCCCATAGCCTTTCTCTTGCCCCTTCATATTTCTTTTTCTATCCAAAACTCAAAGAACATTCGAAAGGAACACAATTTTGAG